GTTGTACGTTCAACGTGGTATTACGTTATTTTATATGTGATTTGGACAAAGCATTTCAAGGTCAAATGCTTAATAATCACTCTGAAGCTGTCAATTTAAATGTAAATTTAAAAATTAAATTAATATTTTGACAGTAATAAAGGTAATGTTGTCCTCAGAGGTCAAAAATAGCGGCTCCTATTTGAAAATTTGGAATTGACCTTGAGCGACCTTCAAGGTAATTTAAGGTCAGTAACAGTTTTCTCCGATCAAACCGTATTACCTTACTAACTTTTATAGAGGCCATTTTTCGCTAGAACCTAAACAGTCGAAGATATTTGCATGGATCGATTAAAACGGCCTATTAACAATGCAAACATGGCAGACATGTATTTTATGTATGAACGTGCCAATGGTAATGGACTTGAAGCCCGTCGTCTGTATTCTGAGACATATCCAAATCGTCTTCTGTTCCTGCTGCTTGAAAATTCATTAAGCTTCGTCAGTGGCTTCGAAACAGTAGAAGCCGTATCGTATCTGGAAGACCTAGATCTGTTTCTACATACGAGGAAGGAAAACAAATTTTGGAAGTGGGAGAAAACTTTGGAAAATTTATATAAGCATTAAATAGTTTGTCCATGATTTGAGCTTTGTTTTAGTAGTTTAAATAAAAGTTTTTCGACAAACATCGTGTAGGAAGAAATAAAATATAAGTTTTTAGTCGATAATAATTATGATTAATTATATTGCCAAAATAATAATTTGTATTCTGCTGCTTCAACTGTTTTTGCAGCTGTTATTATTAATTAATAAAATTAATTTGTGGTTTTAAGTTACAACATCTGTTCAATTTCTACGAACTAACACAAATGTTGTCTTGCTTCACCAAAACACAAATGTCGTTTTGCTTTACCATGAATTAAAACGATATCCATCAACTCAAGAGTTGCTATACACGTATTTTTGACACTTGAAAAACTAATGTAAACACTATCGCAAGCACGTTAATACTAAAATCGGATTTCAGCGCACAACGCGAATATTTTAGGGGGTGGTTGCCGAAGTTATTTTGTGAAAAAAGTTCATATAAATGTAGGTCGAAATATGCTTCTTTTCCGAGATACAGTGTTTAAATTTTAATTTTTTATTTATTTTTATTAATTATTTCAAAGTTTTAAAGATATTGACTCGAAAATTGAAAAAAAGCTTTGGAGGGATAAATGTGCGTATTTTGGGGTGATCCGAATATTTCTACTTGCACCAGTGGCGTTCGTGCGCACATTTTGTGTATTTTTAATTTCTATTGATACATTATCTAGTAGGTTGCTGTGAATATTTCTAAATAAAACACAATCATAAAATTTCGAGTCAATATCTTTAAAACTCTGAAATAATTAAAAAAACCTTTTTTTCACAAAATAACTTCAACAACCACCCCCTAAAATATTTCGCACTTATTTACAAACACCCTGTATAACGTACCAATTTTAATGGTTGTGTTAGGAGTTGTGTTGAAACTGTTCGTAAAAACGTTTGCATTCTGAATTATTTCCTAAACTGATGTAATTTGGCGTCCATTAGACAAATTTGAAATTTGCCCCATTATTTGAAGTCCAATGCCGACGGTAGCTGCACTCAGATATACGTTATCCGTCCCTCTCTAATGTATTTTCCTCGGTACAATACAAATGAGACAGCAAATGCTTTTATAAACAAGGACGATGACTAATTTGTGCAAAGGAAAAAGGGGCATGCTTACTAAAGATTTGTTGTCTGAATTAGATGCTCTATCAAAGTTTTATTTTCTAAGTTTATCTCAAGTGTCGTAATAAAAGTAATTTTCCTGTCTTATGTTGCCAGAAATGACGTTGAAAGATGGACGCGAATTTCTTGTTACAAATTTGCCATTAAATCCATAATTCGTACATTTCGGTGCTTAAATCGCGACCAACTTAGCTTTATTTTTGCTCTGTTTCGTTTTAAGATAACGCGGACGACCGTTCCAAACCATTTTTATAAAACATTTTAACATTTCACTTTGCCTGAATAAGAAAAGTAGCTACTAAAAGTACAATCTTTTAAGATTTACAATGTAACAACTAATCTTTCGGTCGGAAAATGCTGACCAGATATATTTTCAGCATTTTACTCAACACAAGTTATCTAATACATTGATGCGATGATTTAAGTGCAACGAGATGTTTGAAGAATAAAATATACATAAAAATGTTTCGATATGTAAAGCAGTCCTTTAAGACAGCAGCTCGGATGGATTATCCAATATTTGAATGAATTAAATGCTCAAAGGCACCAATACTCAAAGCATTCAGCATTCGAAACATTGTAAAAATATAACGTTTTTATTTCAGTGAATTGGACGGACTCTCTTGTTTACATACATATTTAGATGTGTCTTTGACGCACAACATCACACAGTGTTAAATTCCCTTAGTGTTGATGTTCTATATGAAAAACAGGACAAAAACATTGAAAATCTTTGTTTATTTCAACCTAGAATTCATATTACAGGAAAACTTGCTAAAATATAACGTACTTGCATTAAAATTGTATATGACCTGATTTTAACGTACACCAGATTATAAGGTAACTCGATATAACGTACATATTCCATTAAAACTTACATACAGGGTATAATGCATCGCTGATAATGGACACCTTGTTGCCCGCACATCAACGTATACTGGGATATGCAACTTATTCGATCCGGGGAAAAGTTGCTTATCTGTAGTAATCTTTAATCAAATGATCCCGAATCAGTTCTTGTTTCGATCCTAACATCAAGAACTTCTCTAGAAATCGATGTTCGAGATTTTAAATTGAATTGAATAGTCAACGACCTCATTGCGACATAACCTCATAACCCGATAGATTCATAACCCCGTAACCCCACAACTCCGTGACCCCATAACCCGGATTGTGCGAGAGTGCTGTGGGAACATGGATCTCATACTTCAACGGTCCAAAATTACATGACTAGGTTGGCAGGCTTCCTTAACCCCATAGATCGGGGTGCGCGTGGATGTATAACCAGGAAACTGTGAAACATGGAACTCACACACCAGGGGTCCAGGGGTAAGTTGGCAGCCTTCCAAACCCCATTGCACTAGGGTTAAGTTCCCAGATCAGCGGTTTTCGAGATTTCAAACTAACCTGAATAGTCAGTGATTAGGAAAACGTCCGAATTGCACCATAACCCTATAGGTTCATAACCCCATAACTCTATAATCCCGTAACCCCATAACCCCATAACACTGTGACCAAAACTCGGGCTGTACGACAGTGCTGTGAGAACATGAATCTCATACGTTAAGGGCTCGAAATTACATGACTGTCGATTGGCTTCCTTGACCCAGTAACCCCATAAACCAAGGTGTGCGTAGATGTATAACTACGAAACTGTGGGGCATAAATTTTACACGTAAAGGGTTTGAAGGTTTCTATAACCCAATAACCCCATAACCCTATAGTTCTGGGTGTACGAATATGTATAACGCCAACTCTGAGGAATTAAGTGTGTTGTAACTTCGTAATTCTTTATCCCGGTGCACACATGCTCCTGTAGACCCATGACCTGGGGCATACAGATTTGTGTTATAAAGTCACCCAGGACTTTTTATTACAAGCTTTGCCTTTGCAACTTTCCTTGTTAGTATGAGTCGAATCTTGCAACTGAATTTTAAAACAGTTGTCCTCAACCGATTGAGCTGAAATTTTGCATACACGTTTAGTTTAGATGACAATGCACGGTTAGCTAAGTGACGCCATCCCATATCCAATATGGCGGACTCCCAAAGATGGCGGACCAGTTATTGTTATGCACCCCCATGATGGGTATCAAATGAAAGGGTTTGTTGAGAAGAATACGAAAATAAAATGACGTCACTAAAAGCTTGTTTAATTTTTTTTATATGTATGAACTTATTCTCTTTGTATCTATACTGAAAAAACGTAATAGTACTTCCTTGACTGTGCAGTTATGAATCGTGACTTTTCGCGATCAAAATCGTTCAAATAACAAGTTACGGGGTTACGGGGTTACGGAGCTATGGGGTTATAGGATTATGATGTTATGGGGTTATGGTGCAATGAGATTATGAATTCCAATATTTTCCGAAAATTAACTCGCGATAACCTAAACATATCACTCTCTTTATTTAAAGCCATAATACCATAAATAACGAGGAAAGAAATCAACTTTAACACATGGAATGAATTTTCGTAAACCCCTTCATTCTGATGTCTCCTCAGAAGCCCATAACATGCTTAATTAATGACATAACACGCGTCTTATAGACCTAGTTAGCCGTTAGAGTGTTGAGACATCAACCCTTGTTTTTATTTATTATTTAACATATCCAACAAAGGACGTGATACTTGTTAATAATGTATTCTAAGCTTTAGAACGTATCTGATGAATGCACAACATTTTATGTTATGAAGTTTTACATGGTTCTTCTAAAGAAAACTAATTGTATGAGCAAATAGAATTACGACTTTTGTTACAGGACTACAATACACAGAACACAAAGGATAAATATAGTACATACAATATTTGTGTTTATGAGCTAAATCAATTTTATAGCTGCCGTTGTATAAAGTATGGATACTGATTGATATAAATAAACCAATGATTTCTAGCATATGGCATCGTTACGTATTCGGTTATAACATTAATTTATTCACCATAATACGCGTTAATAATATATTTATTGATAACATTTATCCGTAATTACACTTACGTATAAAAGCGAAATATATTTTTATATTTTACGACCTCGGATTGATTTAGTGTTTTAGACCGGACTTTTATTGCCAGGTTTAAATAATCTAAAGCCTATGCGTTAACTTATTCTAATTTAACGGGCAGCGTGTAAATTATAATTCCCATGTTTGTGTTCGCCTGTACATCAGGAGTGGGATGGCGAAAAGTGAGCATAGGAATTTCGCCAGCCACATCATTTCCTAGTTCCCTAAGTTAATTAAAGCATAAATCAACTTACCAACAACATGCAGGTACCCAAGTTGAGTTTTGGCAGTGACGGTATTGATTTGACACATGTAGCGGCCTTTGTCCTCCTCCTGGACGTTGCTTATATGTAAGAACCACGTCCTGTGCTTGTCGTGGGTCACGCTGATACGTGGATTCCTCGTTATGACATGATTGTGCACTGTTAAAATTGCTGATTGTTCGAAGTGCATCCAAGCGACCTGGAACAAAATAAAACCATCGAATTATACTGTTTTCATAGCCAATTTGACCGTTTTCACGGAAATCAGGCAACGGGACGCGCGCAAAATCACTCGACGGAAACGAACAAGAACAACCTTTACGGCGTCCGCAAATATTACAATAATTTTTATTTGTTTTAATTCTCCCAACTCACACAATTTAATTTAATATATTCGAGGAAAATAAAATCTGATACTTTCAGTTTTTCCATATATTATTTTTGTTTCTAGTTGTATAACACTTTTCTAATTTTTTGTAAAAATTTCAGTATAAAAGTCTTGCGGAATCAGAATTTGCAATTAAAAAACATTCAATATATTCTCTTTAATTAATATTCATAAGTGTACCTCTCTATAGTAGGATCATATTCGATGCAAAGTAATAAATCATTGCCTGTCAAGGGGTCCAGTGCAGTACGGTTTTAAAGGGTTTAGAAATTGAATAATTTCTTTATGCATTATGAAGGGATGAAGTGATCAGTTCACGTCTGGCACCCCTGTTCCTACAAAAATTCCTTTATTCTCATAAACTATTTATTTTAAATACAGGGTGATTCACAACTTATCCAAAAAAATTTGGGAATAGATGCGGCATGAGAAATTGAGTCAATATCGTAAAAAAATTTTTGTTAAATCCTTGTAGTTTCCCAGAAAAAATTATTGAAGTTATAGTACATTCAACCACTACATAGCTGGACAACTGTAGTCTCTAGCGTCATTCGCAATACGCGTGGAGAGCCACGTGGCCTCAGCAACTCCGAATACAAAAATCGGATTTTGCAATCGTCATTGCGATAGTGTTTACCTTTTATCTGTCGTGTTAACAATAGTTTTTTAGTAGTTAGTGTCAAAAATGGTTTGCGTGTATAGCAATTCAGAGTTGATGGATATCGTTTTAATTTATGGTGAAGCATTTCTGTTATGGCAAAGCAAGACATCATTTGTGTTAGTTCGTAGAAATTGAGTAAGACGGGCCCAAATGTGTTTACCCGTTGGTGTACAAAATTTTGAACAATTGTTGTTGTAACATTGCAACATCGGGTATGTCAAATGATTTTATCATTTAAAAACATAAATTAATTTTATTAATTAATAAAGGCAAAAGTAGTTGAATTTGTAAATTATTTAGAATTAAAATAGAGTATGGAGAATAACTTTGCTCTATTTTAATTACTATAATATTTCAATTTTCTACTTCTGTGTAACCCATTTTAATTAAATAACGCGGACGGAGCTATCAAATTTTAATATATGAGAATAATACAAACTGTCAAACAATATAACAAGGTTGTCATGACATTACCTGTCACTGTCACGGCCTACCACATAACATTGTCCATGAGTAATTAGGCCTGTCTCTAATTAGTGAAATTACAATATCTACATGCATTTTGGACCATATCAATGTCGGTTCTGTCAAAATATATTATAATTAAATCTGTAAATCCTTACGTAATTGAAAAAAGGCAGACATGCCTGAAAAGGGTTTAACAATTACAAGATGTCTTATTTTCTTAATAAAAAACCTTCTTTTCGTTTTTTAGAAATATCTTGCTTATTGTTAGAGATGGACCCAACAAATCCTATATGGCTATGCTCTACAGGGAACGTTCTATCCAAATATGTAAAAATATTCAGGGTGTTCCATTTAACTTAACAAAGTTAATAGCCGCGGCCATTTTGTTTGGACTTCATTTGTTTTTCTACTATCATTTTATAAAAATTCATAAAAACTCGTGCAACTTTTATATTTCACATTTTTTTATAACTCTTAAAACAAAAAAGTTAAAGGGGGGTCAAAATATAGTGAATCACCCTGTACATCCAGAATTTTTTTTTTGGATAAGTTCTGAATCACCCTGTATAATTTACTATAAATCCAATTTGTTTTTTAAATTCCACATATGTACTACATTTTACCTCTGTACGCGCCACTGTTTACTTGTTTTTGGAGGCGCTCTCTGATTTATGGCCAAGCTCGCCAGGTTAGTATTTGACGCATAACCGACCACTTCGTACATACTCGATGTACCTGGTCGACTACAGCTACTACTAGAACACATTGCGTATGATGCGGTATTTCAGATTTTACATTCAATTTCATTTTAAATTTGAAATGGTTCATCTTACGAGTCCTAAAAATGACGACACGATTTTCCTTACATAAAAGACCGACAATTTTTTGCTCTACTTTGCATCGAATACGATCCTACTACAGTTAATGTGTAAAAGATTATATTTTTTTCAACAATTTAAAATGAATGAGATTACCTCCGTGCTTCAAAATTGTGCTTCATTATAGAGCTGTTACAAGTGAGTGTTACACCATTATTTTTAATTAAAGCTTTTACTAAAAAAGTACCCCTGCATATATTTCCATAAAAAGTATTATTTAAGGTTATTAAATCGTTAATCCTTAACCTCAATATATAATGAAGTTTGAAAAGGCAGTATCTTCGACGAGTTTTTATTTATCTTAAAACTTTCTATACTTACAGTTCGGCCTGATCTTTTATTCAGGTGATACCTACTCGTATGTGCATTCCCTCTTCATACCGAATACCGTCTTTAATTTTTCTCATATACCAAAGTAACGATGTAAACTTTTAATACTTTTTACTTGTTATTGTCCTACAATCGTATTTTTAGTCTTAACTTTTATAGTCCATTTTATGGCATTTGAGATGTCCAGTATTAAACTGCACAGTAACGGACATAACCTATTTGTATCAATCTGCCAACTTTGTTTAAATCGCTAATAAAAATTGGCGCCCATGCACGCAATGCGGACATTATCCCGCGCATTATTACGGTCTTTTAACTAAATGACTCAGAATAATACAACTATGACTTTTTCAATCCCCCACGTTCATTATCTCGTTACAGTTAATTATTTATCTCATATAATTATCTGTACTTCACTGCTATATCTCGACCAAGTTTGAAATTACTCGGAAATCTTTTCCTGATGTCTTTCTAATTATAGTAAACCCGATCGATATGGAAGTTCCACAATTTGGAAGCAAACAGGCACTACTAAATTCTTTATATCATTGTAATACAGTAAAAATCGCATATATTGCAACATTTTATAAGGAAAAATGTGTACGTTTAAATCACGTTTTAGAAATTAAATAAATTGAAACGTTGTATCAGAAAAGTCATCACATAACCTCACAAAACAATAATGAAAGCAAACATCATATTTTCTGGTATCGAATAATACGTACGTTCTAGCCAAGTGTACGTTATATGAGAAAGTTATATTCATGTACGTTATAAATAACTTTTCTATTCATGTACAAACGCGGTTTCGTTGTATCAAGAGAATATTGATTTTCTACATTCTATTACTGAAAACTAAAATTGGTACGTTTATACAAAAAGTATACTGTAAAAGCAGTAGAAATCTTTTCCTGATGTCTTTCTAATTATAGTAAACCCGATCAATATGGAAGTTCCAAAATTTAGAAACAAACAGGCACTACTAAATTCTTTATATTATTGTAATACAGTAAAAATCGCCTATATCGTAATAATTTGTAAATAAACATGTGTATGTTAAGATTAATACGTTTAAATCACGTTTTAGAAATTAAATAAATTAAAACGTTATATCGGAAAAGCCATCACATCACTCACAAAACAATAATGAATGCAAACATCATGTTCTCTGGTATCGAATAATACGTACATTCTAGCCAAGTGTACGTTATATGAGAAAGTTATATTCAAGTACGTTATATGTAACTTTTCTATTCATGTACAAAAACGGTTTTGTTGTATCAAGATAATAATCTATTAATAAGAACTAAAATAAGTACGTTTATATGAGAAGTACACTGTAAAAACAGTAGAAACTAAAACTGTAGCACGTAGAAACTAAATTATAAATGCATATATAACTATTACAATCTACAAATTTTTCCTTTTTATCGGAATTAGTCATAACCGACTGTACGTTATATTGTGTGTTTGTATATGTTTTCACTATACATATTTTATAAAATAAAATAAATAATATATTTGTCTGTTTTAAGGCGCCCAGTGAGAACATGATGGTTTAAAAATCGTTAAAATAATTTAGTCAGAGTTTGAAAATATTACGTATTAAATTATAGGAATTTTCAATCGAACGTTAAAGGAATATACTATAACTTACAAGAAACGTTAAGAGCATAGAATAAAGTTACAATTAAGCCTTATAAAAACAAGGAAAATCGAGGGAAGAAAAATGTTAAATTGACAAGTGAATTTGTACGTTATAATCAAGTGTACGTTAAATTATACATGTGCGTTATATCCATGTAATATAAGGCAAGGGCGTTATATGTACATTCGCTATTTGGGTTCTTAATAGGATTTTTGATATATCAAAGGTGTACGTTATATTACGTATGTATGTATGTACATGTATGTGTAGTATAACGCATGTACATTACATGTACCTTTTCTATTTGGATTCTTAATAGGTTTTTTGGTGTATTATAGATATGTATCAAAGTTGTACATTATATTGTATATGTACGTCATATGATGTAATATAAGCCATGTACGTTATATCTACGCTCTCTATTTGATTTCTTAAGGGGATTTTTGGTATACTATACATGTATCAAAGTTGTGCGTTATAGTATATGTGTACGAAATATGCATGTAATATAACGCATGCACGTCTTCTATTTGGGTTCTAATAGGATTTTTGGTACCACAAACAATCGAGGGTTTGCTGTAGTAAGAAAATATTGATTTTCTGACGCAGATGATGTTTATTTGGATTTTTGTCATTATTATTTTTTCACGTACTGAAATACAAATTTTAGGACGAATACATAACTTGTAAATGCTTTTAACAAAACATTCAAATAAATACAATGATATCTACTGCAATTGTTCCACGACAAATATTGCACTGTTTACCATCCGAACGAATATGTGGATGGAATTGTAGCTTATTTATCACGGTTAATCGCATTTGT